AGGTCCTGGTCTTAGTCTCATTTTACAGATCAGAAAACTCAGGGGTTCTGGAACTTGCTTCACTGAGGCCACACTGTCAGCCAATGACAGAGCCAAGCCTTGGACCCAGGACTCTGGCTCCAGAGTTGACCCGCTAACCAGACGGTCACAGTCTCAGTGAAGAGCGGGGTCCGATTGTGGAACTGATGGTCAGACTCAGGGCCTGGGGGATCCTGTCACCAAAGCCCCTTCTCCCCAGGCTGTAGGTGCCAGCCACCAACCCTGCTGCCTCTTCGTGAAGCCTACCCAGGCCCTGTCTCATCGACATGGTGACCTAGTCCTGTGGCACTTTGTTTTGCCTCTCTTGATACACATTGCACTTACTGCTTAGTGTGCACAGGCCTCTTCCCTACCAGACTGCTTGATCCTTGAGAGCAGAACCTGGGTCTCAGCCACAGCGATTGCTGCAGCACCTGGTAGAGCACCTGGCATATGGATGGTGCCCAACCAAGGTGTGTGGTTGTGGAACAAAGGGATCCTGCCACAAATCCCTTTGTAAATGGGATGCTGTTTGTAATGGGAATAGTAACTCCCTAATGTGGCTTACTGAAGACAGGGGTCCTTTTGTTCATTGAGGTCAAATAAAATTTCAGATCAGGGTGCTAAGCACATATTTGTGGATAAAGTTTCTGGTAGGATCCCTCAACTACACACACACACACACACACACACACACACACACACACTCCCTTGCTTCTCCTTGTGGCTCCACCCCCACCCTTCTTTGACCCTCCTCAAACACAATGTGAAGGTTTCTCAAAGGATGACTGATACTGCTAGCCATGCTCTTTGGCTAGAACATAGTCCTATCCCAAAGAGGCACAATTTCTCCTTGCTTCTCTGGGCATTTCTGTCCAACACTGAGGTCTGGGAAATGGAGGTCATTACAGCTAACCCTGTTCATCTCAGGAGGCCAAACATTTTCCTAGCATTATCTTGTTCAGGCTGCTCAGGACCTGAGACACGGAAGTCTGGGTGAGGCAGGAAGGGAACTGAGCCCTGGGCAAGTATGGAGTCTCTCAGATCATTTGATGCATTAAGAATGCAGACACCTCCATGGGTCTGAGGCTCAGAGTCCAACAACCCGTGTGTACTCTCCCCACCCCCCCACCTCTTCACCCCCTCTGTCTGTCAAGATCCGTAATCCCAGCCTCCACCCCAACCCCACCAACTAGCCTATTAAGTCTGTGGCCAGGTTGGATTAGACTCATCGTCTCCCTCCCCTTCTTCATGCTGCCTGCAGTCTCCCCTGGGACACTGTCCCGGTACCACCCTCATCCTTAGTACCACCCAAGGCAATCAACTTGGGGACAGGAAGAGTGGGTGATAAATGAGGACTATTGGGGGAAGAAGAGAAGGAAAAGAGACCTCTCTCACCCCAAACCTGGCTGCCTATGACTGATTTCCTTCTCCTCTGGTTTCCAACCTATAACCTAGGCTCAGCCTCCCCACCCCCACTTCCAATTCCAGACCTATCTCTGGAAAGTCCAGAGCAGCTGTCATAGCAAGGAGAGTGTTCATCAGAGACTGGGGATGTGCGGGGCTAGGCTGCATGTACAGTGCTGAGCAGGGCCGAGGAAGGGATCCATCCTGGAGCCTCAGAGTCTCGCCTGGCTGCGCTGGAACCACCCTGCTCTACCATTTTCCAACCTTGTATGCCTTGGGTAGCTCACTTCACCTCCTCCTTGTTTTCCTTACCTGTGAAACAGGGATAATAAAATTGGCCATTCTAGTTGTTGTATGGATTAGAAATAATGTCTCAATAAAAGAGGTGGTTGCAAGGTCTAATATGGGAGCACTTGGTGCTGAATATCCTAGGAGATCCCCTTACAGATGCAGAGTACCTGTGGGCTCCCCCAAGGCAAACTAGGAAGGTTCCTGGGTGACCTCTTTACTACCGGTTAGAATCACTCACTGTCTGGGGAGCCCTCCATCACCCCAAAGCTGGTCTGGTTCTCCCAGGCTCCACCAGGGACAGAGTTGTCACATTCCCATGTGCATCCTGCTCCCAGTCCTCTGGAGAAGAAGAGAGTGCAGGGTCCCAACTGCAGTGGAGAGGGAGGGTGTGGTCCTGTGACCTGCCTTAGGAGTGTCTCACAATCCTCTCCCCCTCGAGCTCCTTTAAAAATGATGAGCCAGTAAGAGCAGCAACCATCCGTGCTCCATTAGCGAGTGAGGCAGAAGCAGCGTCCTCAGCCTTCAGACTCCCTGAACTGGCAGGCTGGCCAGCCACAGCCGGGGGCCTTGGGAAGTCTGGCCCCAGAGTGTGGAGGCCTGTCACTGTAGAGCTGGGATCTGGGGTTGCATGGAAGGCAGGTGAGTTGGGCTCCCAGAGGGCGGGGTCGGTCCCTGGGGAGTACAACCTGAACCAAGAAACCACTCCCGGGAGAGAATCAGGGAGAAGCAAGGCGAAGTTCTGGGTTCTCCCCGTCACAGATGTGGCTTCCAGAAGGGCCAGTCTAGAGTGCCTAATTGGCTCTGGTCCCACACTGGGATTTGGTGGGGTTTGGGTGTAAGGGCAGAAGCAAAGTGGGCCATGTGGCCCCTTGCCAGTGAGGGGAGCAAACCTGGGAATGCTGAGGTCTGGGCGTGGTCTGAGTCCTTCTTGCAAGCCAGCCAGTGCACCACCCAGGTGTGTGCTGGAGGCCAAGGCAGCAGCTCAGCACCACAGAAACCTCTGAGTAGGTCTGCGCTTGTGCTTCCGGTCTGGCTTAGCAGATGCACAGAGGTGACCACTAAAAGGGTGTTAGTATGGAAGGGTGACAAAGTAAATCTACTCTCCTCTCTACTGGGGGAGAATTCTGCCTACAAGCCCTCAGGCTCAGGCATAGTGTACTTTTCTCGCCTCGAAGACTCCAAGTCTTCTCCTGTCTGCAGTTTCTAGATATTTTCCTGCCCTCATTTTGCAGGTGGCATGGAGAAGTTAGTAATTATTTTCTAATTCTCACAACCGCAGGCACCACCCACTTGACTCCCCTCAGATCCATTGATAAAAGTGCTTCTCAGTCCCCCTTGCAGGGCAGTCCTGGGCATGCTAGTGCTGGAGACGGTGGGCAGGCAGAGCATCATGTCAGTCTGCAGCCCGGTGAGTGGCAGGAAGCGGCGTGAGAGAGATGGGGGGAAGCAGAAGCTTGGCTGCCCTTGGACATGCTCTAGCCCGTCCAATAATGGTATCAAGTCATTGAAGTACAAAGTAGAGGAAAAGGGGAGGGAGTCACAAAACATCTCCATAAGCCCTGACTCTCACACTCATTACAAGCTCTGGTTCTATAAGTCCATCAATGCTCAATGCTCCACATGGACTTCTTAGAGTTTAGCCTGTAGCTGGTCCCAGACCACAGAGTCAAAGGTCAGGGAAAGGCCAACACCAGCCATGAGCCAGCCCAGGCTTTTGCTGACAGCTTCATCAACAGTACGCAGGGGGCTTCCCGAGGTCTCAGGTGGACTGGCTGTGCTTTGGTGGCTTTCCACCGTCCCAGACGTCCTTTGTCTCCATCTGCACCCAGTGACAGCTCAACCCTGTGAGAGGCAACTGAGTATTTCCATTGTATGCGAATCCTTGCCCACATCTTTAATCATTTTCCTAGGATAAATTCGAGAACCAGCATTATTCCCATAGCAATGTATGAGCACTCCCATACTCTTAGCAACATTCATAATTTTCTGAATGATAGTGAAGATGATACCAACAAATCAGAATCTATTTAATTTGCACATATTAAATTTCTGTGGGAGTTTTTTTTATCTCTTTTGTTTTGGTTAATTGTATTTAATATGTTGTGAGTTTCTTGCTTATCTTTGGCCCTTTATTCTGTAGAGTGATTGGTTAATATTGACTTGGTAGAACTGCCTATAATAGAATTCTTTGTTTTTCATACTTGCTGCAAGTATTTTTGCTTTTTTTTTTATGCCTCAAACCTCTTGAAAGGGTATTTTGTTTTGTTGGTCCATGCAGAGATTTTAATTTTTATGTACTCAGAATCTATCAGTATTTTCCTTTCTGATTTCTGCCTTTGATGCCATACTTCCCGTAACAGAATTGTGGAAACATCCATGTATGTGTTGTACAAATTTTTTATACTTTCATCTTTTACATTTAACTCTTTAATTATTCCGGAATTGATGGCATGTGTCTTTGTAAACTACTGTGAATTCCCTTTGAAATGAGAGTGATTACTTCATTAATTAACATGGCAGGGCAGGAAGCTAGTAGAGGGGAGGGCTGGAGATCCTGGAGGGAGATGAGATAATTACCGAATCAAGGCTTGGAAGAGAACAGATCGAGTGCTGTTGGCAGGAGGTGTGCAGAGGGAGCTGCCTCGAGTCAAAGGTGGGACCCAATGTCGAAGAGTAGATGACAGTCAGGAGGTGGCAGAGGTTTTGTGCCAGGATAGGAGGTAATGGTGGGTAGGGAATGAGTAGAGAGGAGGACTGTGATCCAGGTGCCCAAATTCCCGGTGGCAGGAGCCTCAAGGAGAGAGGGTTACCAGTTACAAGGACCAGTGACTGATCCTTGCACTTTTGGGTCCATGGGCTTGGGGAAGAAGATAGTACTGCACTGGGGAGGCATCCTGGGGAGATCCAGAAGCCAGCTGAGCATGTGCGCGTGGCAGGAGCGTGAGGAGAAAAGGCTGAAGACATGAGGGAGTTTGTCTACCGGGAGCAGGACGTTCTAGGCTGTGGTACCAAGGAAGATCTGAGAGGCCGGGCTTGCGTCCCTAATCAGTGGAGAAGAAGAGTGAAGTTAAGTGAAGCATAGCAATTCCCAGAGCACTTTTGCATAAGAGCTGGCAAGGGCCTCACCACTTCAGCTCTTCAGAGCAGAAAGGTTCAGGGATTTGCTGACTCAGGCAGGGTGGGAACCCAGCAGTCCCGAAGCCCAGCCTGGGAGCTCGAGCCTCCCCTCTGGCCCAGCAGCATAGTTCCTTCTCTGACTGTGTTCTTCCCTCCACTCTTTGCAGGACAGTAGTCCACTCTGCCGGCCACGCCATGAATGGGATGGCCAACGTGAATTCAGCCAGCCGCCCTCACTACCCCTCCTCCATCCCTGTGCCCAGAGCCTCTTCCCAGACCAGGATTCACACTCCGGGTGCATCTCCTCAGCTGCGGCCGCACCAGGCTGGCTTGACCCTTAGCCCCCAGCGAGCGGCCTCCCCGAGGCTGGGCAAGGCTTCGGGCTCTTCCAGAAACTCCTCGCCCAAGGCCTCCCTTGGGAGAGGCTCCCCAAGGCCTGCTGGGGCAGCAAGGGAGTTGGCTGAAGGTGGTGAAGGCCTCCCCAGGTCCCCCTGGAGCAGTCCCAGAGTAACCCCAAGGGCGGCCCCCTCCACCCGGGCCGGTTCCGGAAGAGTCGGGGCTACACAAGGCATCCAGGGAAAGAAAAAGAAGGCCCAGGAAGGGATTCCAGTGCGCCAGACCCGTGGCAGGAGCCCACCCCGGACAAGTGCTCATGGAGAAACTCCAATACCAGGGGCTCCTGAAGGGCGAAAGCCTCCTAGTGGCCCAGGAAAAGATCAAAGAGATCTAAACTACCCATGTTCTTCGGAGCCTGACAGTGGAGCAGCTTCAGGGGCCCTGTCTCCGGCTTACAGCCCAGCGCAGAGCCAGCGCCCCCCTCCCACCCCAGGGACCATTAGCTTCTCCTCGGTCCATCAGCAGAGCCAACCCATCACAGCCACCGTGGCCCCCTTCCAGTACAGGTGAGCTGGGGGAGCAGGCTGGAGGGGAGGAGGGAACTATGCAGCTGGCACTTAGGCAAGGCGGGAGGGGAGGGCTTTGATGATGGACACCAGAGGGCTCCAGGGTATGGAGGAAGAGCCTGGGCAGATGGAGGCCTTGAGAGTGGGAAGTTTGGCGAGCTGAGCTGGGACTGAGGACACAGAATGGGACCCTAACTCAGCTCTGGTCTTTCTGGACGCTGGGGACTCCACAGAAAACAGACTCATAAGGAGGGATTTCTTTTTTTTTTTTTTTTGGATGGGGGCATTTCTTAGTATTTGCATTTCTCCTACTTTCTGGGAAATGATGAAACAAAATATTAGGTATTGTGGATGCTTAAACAGCTAGTGTGTTAGTCACTTTCCTGTTGCTGGAACAAAATACTTGACACCCACAATTTACAGAGAGGTTTATCTTGGCTCAGATTTCAAGAGTTCAGTCTATTGTTAGGTGGCCCCGAGGCAGAAAGGTTATGGTGGAAGGGCCTGGCAAAGGGTGGTTGCTCAACATATGGCAGCCAGGAAGCAGAGAGAAAAGGGGGGCGCCAGGGAGGGAGACAGCTCCTCCAAAGGCAAGCCTACAGAGACATTCCTCTTCCACCTGGGCGTCACCTCCCAACACACAAAGCTATGAACTCATCAAATGGATTAGTCCCTTGATGAATGTAATGCTCCCGTGATCCGTTCACCTTCCAGAAGCCCCGGCGCTGTACGCAGGCACCTGCTCCAGAACATTGTAGATCTAAATCACAGCAGCTAGGTACATAGGTGGGTGGGTAAGTAAGTAGGTACGTGCTTCTTGCTTTATTCATATTGGACATTTGTCACCACTGTGCATGAGGCAGACTGCATTGTCCTGGACACTGTGCTTTTACTTTATGGTGAATGAAATCCTGTTTCACGGTTTTGTTTCCATAATGCTTTGTGTCTGTCCCTCTCACATGTCCTTGTTCACTCCACCTATTATATTGGCTTATACATATCAGCGGTCAGTGATACTATTACATAGCTACAATAGGCACTGCTTTCATTGGTACTGCCAGTGGCTGACCAGTATTCCAACAATGTGGCCACTAAGCCCATCTCTTCAGCTTGTTTCAGACATGACAAGTTAAATGCAGAGAAAAGACACTTAGCCAACTATGCTTTGTAAATAAAAATTTAACTCTTTACTAAAATGACCACATTAAGTAACATTTGCCTACTTTTAATGACTAATATTTAAACTACTTTTAATGAGTAATTATTATACATTTCAGGAAGACTCAAATGCACATTAAGACCCTTCCTGAGTAAACTCACTTCCCATTTCTTTCCTATGCTCATGCCAGAAGAAGCTCTTATTTGTATTTTGGGTATAGAAAAGCTTGCATGTTGCTTCCTAGACACTGGGGCCTCTGAGACATCAGAGCGCAGGATGTGGGGCAGAGACCCTCTAAGGGCTTCGGGCTTCACTGAGACACTTATGTGTGTCTTGACCTCTGGACAATCCAGCGCAGCCTTATAGTACAGTAACAGGTATTTGGGGTCCAGGACAAGCAAGTGAATAGTCCCGCCATATCCTACTGTATTCAGGCCTCCTTTATCATGCTGCATTCATATATGAGTACCACATCTTCAAAGGACATTAACACACCAAAACTCACTTAGGGAAAGATCAACAGGCTAGTAAGGGATCCCAAAAAAAGGCATTATAAAAATGATTAAAGGAACTAAAGAAGTTTGCTTTGGAAGAGGAAGGCTTAGAAGGACCTGAGAGCTGTTCTCGAGTGTTTGAAAGGCTGTCATGTTGTGGGATGAATTAGATTTACTTGGTGCAGCTCCAAAGAGCTAACTCAGCATCATGTGGCTAGAAGTTAGTTCTTGGCAGATTGGAGGCTTGATAGAAGTTTCCAGCAAGTACAGAGGATTGTCAGTTGGCTGTCAGGCAGCAAACTCCCCATCCCTGCAGGAATTCCAGCAGCTCCCATGGCCAGGGAGTTCTTACCGGTGATCCCTGGCTCTCTAATCATCCCTTCTGCTGGACTGTCCTGCCCACAAAGTACACTAATGTCCTTTTCCAGAGGGACAATTCACTCTGTCCCTTGTGACTTTCTCAACTTAGATTCTATCTGTTGTTTGTTTGTTTTTGGGGGTACCGGGGATCAAACTCAGGACCTTGCACTTGTGAGGCAGGCGCCGGAACCACTGAGCTAAATCTCCAGCCTCAACTTAGATTCTAAAGCTGAGTGAGAACTCAAGAAACAAAATGCAAGGCAGACCTTCTTTCTGTGGTTCTTGGGATAGAACCTAGGACCTCTCACCTGCTAGGCAAATGCTCTGCCGTGAAGCTACACCCCAACCCTGGCCTTCCTTTGAATGTCTTTTCTCCAGTCAACTAAATGTTTTCCTGGTGACTCTTGGACTTTCTTCTTCTACCTGATACTCTTTGTTTTGAATTCATTCCTTCGGGGAAAAGTGTCTAGGTATTAAACTGCTTAAGATTTTGCATTATGCACTGTATAAGACCCCTGATATATTTAGAACCTGACATTTTCCTAGGGAGGTCAGAATATTTTCCTCTGAAGATTTCAATGCAATTTAAATGGAATCATGTCTCCTTCATTCAGCAAACATTTATCATTATGTTTGCATTTTGAACACAAGTGGAAACATGTCACATCTTCCCAGTAGGAATTTTCTTTGCCACCCCACCGCCCAGAGCCTGCTCCTTTCAGGTCCTGGATTAGGGCTACAGGGAGGGTCATGGGTGAGAACAGGCAAGGGTGAGAATTGGGGCAAGGAAACCCCCAGATGCTTCAGGCAGATGGCCGGGCCCCAGCACACCCTGCAGGGCCAAGATCTGCTGCCATGGACAACTCTGCCAAGACCCCAGCTGGGCCACCCTTGCAAACTTCAGATCCAAAGAGGTGCCATCTGCTCTCTAGAAACTATAGACATCTTGTTTTCGTGGAAATCTGCTCCCCACTCACAGCACCCTGGGCCTGCTGCAAAGCCCTAGGTGGATGCAGAAGCAGAGTTTCCGGGGCTTCCTGCCGCATCTCCAGCCTGGTTACGCCTGACCTGCTTCTCCGGGGGGCGAACCCATCAGCCACCTTTTGCCCTTCCCCATCCTCCCAGCCATCTCTTTTCAAAGGACCTGGGTGCAGTTCTCCCAGTGAAGTCCATCTTCTGCCATCTGCCCCTTCCTCTGGATGCCCCTGCTCTCTGGCCAGGAGAAGGTGCAGTGGCCCAAGGCCTGCCCTCTGGATCCTCTGGTCTCAACCCCTTCCTCACTCCCCTCCATGTTCTCAGGAAAGCACCTTGGTAGCCGTACCAGAGCTCTTACCGTTTCTACCTGCCAAGGTTTTCTTTCCCCGACGGTCACTCCTTCCTTCATCAGGCAAGCCTTGGGGTGGACTTCTGGCTAATAGTGTCAGGAGTGTAGGGTTATATGTGTCGCCATTCTGGTTTTCTCCCCTCTGGTTCAACTTCCGTTTAACTTGCAGTATAGATAGCACTGTCCTTTCAGGCAGAGAAGTAGCCAGAAGTGGAGGCCTGGTGTATTTGGGGAGGTAGAGGCAGGTGTGGATTGAAGAGCAAAGCTGACTGAAAGCAGAAGGCTGAAGGCTGCCTTCTTCCGTGCTCCTAGGATCCAAGTTCCTTGCACACTTATAATGGAGTAATAATCAGAATAGCAGACCACTCCTGTTTTTGATACTGATTTTACCTGCCTGCTCTGCTGCTAGCTCTTTACAGTGATGATGTTATTCAGTGAAACATTTGATACATTACATAGAATTCCCTCTCCCCAGTAGAACATTTTATTACTTTTTCACTAATACATTGCATTTCTTAGTTCAAAAGCCGGAGTCCATGCTAACTTGCAAATCAGCCAACTCCAGTTTTTCCCTGTCCACTTGGCACTCCCATGCCCGAGCAGTGTTCCTATCGTACCAAGCACCCCTAGGGGCCAGGATGAGGTCTCTTGCTTTCTCCAGTTTACCTCCACCTGCCTTATTCCCAGTGCCCCCCACCCCAGGACCTGCAGACCCAGGAGAGCCCAACACAGCCTGAATGGCTTAGAGAGAGCCAAGTAGAAGCCACAGACCTCCTGCAACCCCAGATGTCAGACTGATCTGAACCTTGGAGGTCATCCCTTCGCCCTGTGATGGAGGCCAGGCCCTGAGTGGCAGAGAGATTTGCTGGCAGTTACACAATGAGCTCACAGCAGAGCTGGGCCCAAGTGATGGCCATCTAGGTGTGGAAAGAACTACAGGCTGGAGAGTGAGAAAAACAAATCTCAAATCTCAGCAGCACCGGAGACTCCCAGGGCCCCTGGCCCAGCCCGTCAGTTTCCCCTCCTGCCTGCACAGTCCTCCCCTCCCCCTCCTGCCAAGCTGCCAGAGAACCCATTTAGCTGGCGACAGCGGGCAGGCAGTGGGCGGGCCAGCTCCAAGAGCCCAGGGTAATTGCCTATAATGAAAGCTCCCACAGCCTTTGTTCCTGGGAGCGAGAGTACAGTTGAGGTTGTGCTCAGAGGTCTGTGTGCACTTGGGAGCTGGTACCCGGAGACCTCACCCTTCCTTCTGCCATGACTGGGTGGTCCTGTCCTCCCAGGAGTCACTGTGACCCAGGCTGAGCCTACTGCTCCTTTCCTGACCTCCTGGTACCTGGCCAGTGCCCGCTGTCCTGTGAATGGGTAGAACATCAAAAGACAACTGACATCACCAGAGGGCGCATGCAGGGTTGAAAAGTCAGACTGGAGGAGTTTTCTTAGCACATGGAGGGGCTCGGAGGCCATGAATGATTGCTTCCTCTTGGACCTACAGGTTGCAGACAGACCAGGATCCTGGCTCCCACCCTCAGGGCAGCTGGGCCCTTGATGGCTACTCCAGCCCCCCAAGCAGGATGGAGAGCAGCCTCTCCGGTGTGGGTAAGTGCTCTGGAGGAAGACTTCCTGCTGGGGGTGGGGACATTGGCCTGGCGCACTTCACTGCCCACGCAGCTCCATCTCTTGACAATGAGACACCAGACTGTGACCCACACTTTGAGTTTTCTCCACGTTTGACTCAACCCAGGGTTGGTCCATTGAATCCAGGAGCACTTCCGGGTCAAGATAGCAGTTGACCAGTGGGTATCATGTTTGTCCAGTGCTCAGGTTGTGGGAGTCGTGTGTGTGTGTGTGTGTGTGTGTGTATGTGTGTGTGTGTGTGTGTGCGCAATATGTGAGGTTGTGTAAAAGGGAATAAGCTGGGAGAATGGGAGCCAGGTTCTGTATGAAGCCCACATTAAAAGTCAAGGTGGTAGGAGCCCAAGGGGGCAGTGGAGCCATCTCACCAGCTGCTTGACAACTGTGTCCTTTCCCAGGACTGCTTTTAAAAGGCCACTTCTAGGCTGGGAATTTAGCTCAGTGGTTTTGATGCCTGCTGTGTAAGCGCAAGGACCTGAGTTTGATCCCTGGTACCAAAAAAAAAAAAAAAAGGCCACTTCCACATGATCCTTCCTGGTGTCATCCTGTGTTGCAGCCTATCACCAGGTACACTTATACTGTTAACAGCCTCAGGGACCCGAGAGTGACCACACACAGGGATGTTGCTTCTGGGCAGACACTGCTTGTTCCAGCTGCATTCTGGGGTGCCAGTGTCTCTGAACAAATGAACGAGGAGTGAGTAAATGAGCACCTTGTATACCATTGATCAAGTCCTATCTAGGTCAGATGCCAAACGCTTAGCAGTATTTAGAGTATGTCTTAATTTTTCTCACAACATGAAAAGAATGCCTAGGGGATGCTGTGATGCACATCAGAGATATATAAGACTGCATGCTGCAGGGACCCAGCTCGCCCTATAGTTCCTAGGCCAGGGGAATCTTGCCCAGCAAAGTCATGAACTGGCTTTGGAAAACCTAACATTGCCAGAAGGTGTGTCTGGCAGCCTCATCTTGGTGCCCTGCTCTGGTGGATGAGGCTGGGGCATAGAGCACAGACTGACCCTGCCAGAATTTGGCACTAGTGGCATGCCTTTCCTTCCTTCTCTGTGCCCTGCTAGCCAGATGGGCCAGTGTCGCCTTGGCCTATCAGCTGGTCCTTTTAAGACCTCTTTGAAAGGTCAACAGCAGTGATCTTAGATACACTGTGACTGCGTAAACAGAAAAGGCACACTCGCCACTCCATGGCAAGCTCTGCAGAGGAAGGTCCGGGCACAGGGACTAGGCATTTAAACAGTAAGCCCTGCTCCCACAGTAAGTACACATGCAAGAGGACCAGGGCGTGGCGGAGGACACAAGGAAACCAAATTTCACTGGCACTGACAAACCATCAGAATTAGAATGTGGTAACCAGGAAACTATGCGGAGCTCTATTTTTACATTTGCAGTTTTCTTAGTGTAATGGCTTCCTTATGTGAATGCCACATTGTTATAGACTAGTGATCTCCATCCACCTAACCAGGCCCTCGTTCCTAATTCTTATCCCATGAACTGGTGAGATGACTTTTGCTTTTAGCATCTGCTGCAGACTGGCACTAGGAATCTCTGGGGCCTGTCAGCTTCAAGACCACCCTCACCAGCTACAAGTGAGAGTGTCTGACAGATCATAGGGTGGGTGCTGTGGGGGACAGAGAGCTTCGGAGGTGGGCTTCCCACAGAACTGTGAGAAGCACCAGTTTCCTCCATGGCACCTAGGGAAGGGGAGCAGGGTTCACAGCGATGCCTCTGCTCGGGCGCTTGCCAGTTGTCATGGTGACTCATCTTTGCTGAGCGTACACTGCGCTCTCTGATGGGTTGGATGGAGAGAGGGGTTTAGGATTTTCCTTCCTTATGGGAAGCTTAGTCTTCTGAGCTTGAAGAAAACAGAGAAGAGAGGAAGAAAGGAGACAACTGAAAGGTTCCATTTTATGTCTTGCTCTCCCACCCCCCAACCTCAGCCATGACATGACTTATTTATTCAGGTATTCTTTTATTCAGTCTGAAGGCCATCAATGAGCACTTGCCTTGTACCAAACACTGCTGACAGTGAAGGAAAAGGTGAATAAGACTTTGACCTGCCTTCACGGAGTTCACTGTCTGGGGATGTATTCCAGGGAGACTTATGTAGACAATTTGTTGGCCTCCAGAATCCCCACTTAGTGAGCTGACCTTATGGGTTGATAGGAAGCCAGTCAGTCCTGCCTCCCTTGCCAGGTCCTCAGCATGAGAGGGGCACTGAGCTTGTTGCCCCCTCTTTGTGGACGGAGAATTGAGTGCCTTGGAGAGTCATGGAATTATACCACTTTCAGAACCCAGTACAGAATCAACTACTGATTATGTTATTTCCATTCCAATCTGTAGACCACAGTAGATGGGGGCACTTTTCTTGAAGCTCAACTCTTCCCCCTTTCTTTCCATGAACTGTTTGGCAAATTAGTGGAACAGGTGAGTACCGAATCGATAGTAAGCAGCTGTGAGCTCACTAGTCCTCTGTGAGACTGTGTTTGCTCTACCAGCTGAGGACAAGCAACTGGTCTACTTTGGCCCTCTTCCCAGTGTGGTTCCCTCCAGCTTCCAGGCTCCATGCAGCAGAGGGCAGGGGCAGGAGAAGGCCAAAGGGCTTTCTCTGCCTTGTACCACTGCCTGGACACTTTGGACAGAGTCTAAATAAGGCCTTATAATCTTTGAGTAGCAAGAAGCACATTTCCCATGAGGACAAGCTGGCATGATGGTGGCCTTCCTATGTCCCAAAGGCTGTCTGCATCCAGCTGCTCCTGCCTCTGCCCTTGAGTGAGCATGGAAGAATCCAGCTCACAGGTGTTTGCACGTGTGCCCTGACCCTCCTGTGCCCACCTGGCTCTGCTTGAGAGCCCGGCGCTGGTCCATCTGCTCACACTCAGCGACAGGCTGTACACAGGTCACCATCAGATCTTAATTTCGACAGCGAGGGAAGCCAGGGCTGACGCTGCCACATGCCCACATGTGCAAGGCTGTGTGCAGGAGGCCCAGGGAAGGTTGCCGAGGTTTACACAGATTCCTTAATTACTTCCGCTTTTTGGCATGTTGGAATGAGTGCTAAGTGGACGCATAATGAAGGGATCTTTTCTCATCGTAGCATGTGTCACTGGGGAACAAACCGGAGCCTCCTCCCTGGCTTCTTACATGATGGCTGATATATATAGAATGGGAGGGGCAATATGGAGTTTGGCCTCAACCTGGGGTCATTTTACTTCTGCTCCTCTTTCTTTTCCCTTTGAGCCACTGTTAACCTGTTCATGTCCTACAGATTTGGGAGCAGGGGTAGAGCCCTTAATCTAAGAAAACTTGCACACCTGGTGTGCTGTCTGGCAGTTCGGGAGTGAGGTGTGGTATCTGTACTGGCTGAGAGGAGTTTGTTTTGGGCTTCTAGAGAGGGTGCAGCTCAGAGATGCAAGTAGATCACAAAGAGCACAGTAAGCCAAAGCTCTGATGAACCTTCTAGGCCACCCACTCTGGCCTCATTTTCCACTGAACCAGGATAAATGAGGAGAAATGACTCGCTCAAGAGCCATGGTGGGTTAGCAGATGAACTGAAACCCGGACTGGTGCCTGCTGACTCCCCAAACACTAAAATCGGCAAATGATAATAATGACTGCCAGTTACCGAACGCTTGTTATGTGCAAGGCCCATTGCTAGGTGCTCTATCCATAAAGTCCTTTGTGAACACACCTGAGGCATCTCTCTGAAGGCAGCATTGTTACTCTGATATGAGTGAGGAAACTGAGGCTCAGAGAGGTTATGAAAACCTCTGTGAAGACAGAGCTAGGGGCAGCGCAGGATCTGAGGCAGCTCATCTAAAAGTCATGCCTTCTCCTCTAACTCCCCTGCCTTCCCATCTGCTGCCAGTAGTCACCCTTGGTCAGCTTGCATGCTGTCCAGGCTCAATTCAGTCTCCCTCAAGCCCTGCCAAGGAAATGGGGTCAGTGAGCCCCAGTCCCTCTGACATCTCCTTAAACCTGTGCAGGCCCCAGAATGTCGCTGGCATCTCTGTCGCTCCAGTCCTGTGTTATTTCATGCTGAGTTCACACGGCTGTGTTCCTTCCCCTCTGGGGCCAAGATGAGCCGAGGTCTCAGCCATGCGTGGAGAGAGGACGTGCAGACAATTGACTGGAAAACAGGCCAAGCTCAGGGGTGGGTGGCATTAGCCATATTCTCAGGGCACTGGTGGACCAGTGCCAGGGTAGGCTTGGCAGGGCAAGGGGTCTGTGGATGCCCCTTTTGGATAAACAGAGCAGCCTCTGGGACCAAGTGGGCTGACAGGAGTTGGGATGGGAGGTCATAATAACGCTCTTAGCAGCTGACACTTGCTGTGGCTTCTGTGAGCCAGGCATCGTGATAGTACATTTAATCCTTCCAACAACTGCATGAGGCTGGAACTTCACCCCTCATTTGTGTCAGGGCTTTCCCACTTGTACTGTGCAGCTGTGGACAAATTATTTAATCTCTCTATGCCTCCATGTCCTTGGTTGTGAATGGGCATGATGAGGGTATCCTCCTTCAAGAGTTTTGTGACGATTAAATGCATCAATAAGGTACCGTGCCTGAAGACAGCTTGGTGCATAGTGACTGCTAATTTGTGTTCAATATTGTTTGTCATCGAGGAAAGTGCTATGATTTTCTTACTCACTTTACAGATGAGCAAACTGTGGCACTGTGTGGGGAAGTGACTTCCCCAGGGCGGTCCGGCCAGGACTTGTGCTGAGGCAGCCAGGTTTCAGGACTGCATCCTGAATCATCTATGGAAGGGGAGGGGCTCAAGTCCAGGAGGGCCCGGGGAGGTCTCAAGGGGCATGGCAGAGCCAGGTTCTAGGAGAGGCTGGGAAGGAAGAGGCCAGAGGAGCAAGGTCATCCCAGGTATCTTGCTGAAGGGGCTTGAAATAGAAACTAGAGGGATCTGGATTCTGTTGCTTGGGAGGAGGGAGGAGGAG